TTTGGTATTATACCTTAATCCATGAGTTTGCGCATAGGATTCACACATAATTTATGGTTCGGGGTATTTTGCTGAATGTCAGAATCGTTGCCTTCTGTAAAACGTGTGAAACTCTTAAAATAATGTAACAAAATTGTTATATTAACATATTAATATAAATAGTTAATTAGTATTTTGTAAATATTGAACGATAAAATAGTGTTTCGAAAATGTAATGTTTGTATGATTTATTTTATTTGGGCTACGTAAGCGACGTAGATGTTTGTACTTATTATAATTAGTAATTGTAATAAAAAATTAAAACGACAACACGCATTCACCCTCGCGCTACGAATGTTTGTTTTTAAATTTTAAAGGAATTTGTTACGTTTGGTCTAATGAGAAAAATAACCAACCAGTGAAATGAACGGTACCTACTTGTGTGCGAAATGCTGATAGTATTTTCAAACAGCAAAACAAGTTTTTGTTAAAGTAGGTGTTTTTTGTTTTGGTCCGGTTTTATTAATGACAAGTTTCACGCCTTGCTACTGTCATGTAGGTACCTATATGTAATAGGTCACATAATTTTTATGTACCTAAATACTTGTTTCACGACAACAGGTAGACTTTCTATTAAGGATCCGCCGGCATTGTTTGTTTCATTGTTTCTACAAGCATTAGGTACCTATTATTTAGTAAACTGAAAGTGAAGAAATGTTCTCTCATTGTTTAATTATTTACACCTTATTGTATAAGTTTTGGTTGAGTCTTCAATGTGACTTAGTACGAACAGTTGGTGTTAGTAAACAGATGTAAACAATGTCATGTTATTTGTCCAGCCATTATGTCAATATGCGCTTTCCCACGTTTACGTGTGACACAGTAATGTGGTTGTTCTTACTAATTCAAATTTGCAGTTGGCAATATCTATTGCATTTAGTGAGTAGCATGAATTCTTGAAGAGTATTAACGGTATCATAACATTTTTTCTTAGTTTGTTATTGTTATTGATACTTACACAAATCGAACAACACAGATAAAAATTCCTTGGGATTCCATTCCAGTCAGATGACTGGACTCCAACCAAAATAGTCAAAACAAAAATAAAATAAATATTGTTATCTTCGATTTTGTAAAATGTAATGAATGACTCCTTTATAATATTATTATTTATGCTAACAAATGAACGGTAGGTATATAGCAGAATTTAAATATGAAGTGTAAAACTGAGTGTGCTGTTAACCGTACTTGAATAGAATACATAATCAGATTTTCTTGTAGACTTTACCGTCCTTGGCAAGCAAGATACCTTTGTTTTCCCGAATACAGACAAAGGGTATATGCGAAAACTTTTTGCGACGCCAACCATCGTTCATATGTACAACATATTATTTTATTCAACTTTTAATGGCACAGTTAAGAGTTTACAATGCTGTTTTGTTACGGGTTGATCTGCAAAGTGGTAAAATATACGTTGGAATTGCCAACATTTGCATGAAAATCGTTATCGATTATCAACGAATTGCAAATTATATGGTCTTTAGACTGAGTGCGTCTTTTATAATAACTCGTTCCTTTACATATAATCATAGATAACCTCCTAATCTATGCATATGTATAATATATTTACTTTTTTTATACAAATGTAAGTGCGCGTTTGACCTCCCTCTCGCCTGGTGGAAATTGACGATGAGGTCGACGATGGAGCATGCACAACTAAATAATACCTATTCACGCTCGCCTTGAAAAGGTCCGAGTTAAACTTTCAGGGAACAAGTCTGCAGGCAGGGAATTCCACTCCATAGCCGTTCCCCATATAAATGTGAAAGCGTAACGTTTCGTTTGAATCTTTGTAATATCCACAACATAGGGGTAGAATCCAAGCCTACGTCTAGTCCCCCAATAATGGAAAGGGGAAGGCGGAATTAAATATTGTAATTCCATCGTACACTCTCCGTGATATATCCTGTAAAATACCGATAAACAGGAAACTTTACGGCAGTGTTCTAGGCTCTGCAGCTTCGCCTCTACTAATTCCGAGTCACCTATAAGCTTCTTGACCCGCTTGTCAATTGAATCCAAGATGGTCAGTTGGTATGTAGCCGAGCCATCCCAAAGGTGGCAGCAATACACCGTGTTTTAAAATCAATATAAAAGCTAAAACTTAATTGATACCAAAATTGAATTTAAAACAGGCCATAAATACGCGTTTTAAAACAGTCGAAAAATCCTTAAAACATGCTTCCCTGAAAAAATTTTCGAAATGACGCTTACGCCTCTTCTACAAAACACGACGATATTATTTTAAAAATATTATGTTATCTATGTTGAGAGAACTGGTATTCTTAATGTAATCATACTCTTTGAGCGGAACAGTCCCGCTGCCCCCAAAATTCTTAATAATGTCTCACTTTGACAAAACACGTGACATTATTTTTTTTAAAATGGGATGAAAGCAACAAGTAGGTATAATTAAAGCCAGACTGCACAAATGTTAGTTATTATAAAAAATATCGTTATACATTCTGTAACTATGATAAACATGTATTTTATTTTTAAAACAATAATAAATTTACAGATAATGGTCCTGTTAGGTAGCGTATAATACAAGCTTATGCTTAGTTTAGATATTTAACAGTTTGTTATAAATATAATGTGGAATAGATTTTATTATATGCTTCAAAATTGTGTACATGTACAATTTGTTATATTTGTGGAGAAAAATAAATGAATATCATGATAGTAAAACATTATGATATTCAATAAAATCAATATTATAACTAATACAGCGACATCTAACATCGGTATCTGGTAGCTCTATCATTTTTTATTATTATTATTGCTAAGTAGGAACTATTGAAGGAAACCAAAACGGAAAGACCGAGGCTTAATGTTAACTATTTATTAGTATATTTAAATATAAAAGGTAAATATGGGAACTAAACACGCAAGTTTAGGAGAAAGGCAGCAAGTACAAGTCACTATCCACCAGTAAGGCGTAAGATAACCCAATGGCATTGATATATTGTCTTTCTTGTTACAGTGATTTCAACGAGTCATTTAAACCACTGTTTCTACTAATCATTTGTCAAATTGGACACTTAACCGGAAAGGCATTAATGCTTTTTATCTTAAGGTTATCTTCGAAGATTTTTTTCTTTTCTTTGTACTTTTCATTCATTCATTCAAAGCAGCATCCTTTTGACCATACAATGACTTTATTCAAAGTACAAGAGACGATGTGGACTGGTTGAATCTGGCACAAAAAAACGTTCTTGATAATAGTCTTTTTTTCACTTTGTTATAAGTAATGAAGTGTTAAGTTTACTCTAGGAAATTATATGAATTAAAGTATGTCTTGCAACTTACCTACATAAATTTATAAAAGAAAGATGGTGCTTTTTCTTCATATTTAGTATAAAATTAGAAATGTCGGCAAAATCGGATGTGCCAATTTGAGACTGTCGTATAAAATTCGCCTGACTAAGAAAAAAAATGTACCTACATTCGTTTTTTAAATTGTATTGACATTATAAATGTCTTCGTTATCTGAATATGTACATATCCCAATATGTTATCGTTACGAACAAACAATACATACCACGTTTTTGCCCCTGCGCATTTGTGGCGTTGCGTCGTATCTGAGCGATGACAGTAATCTGTACGATTAGTTTTTGCCGTCATTATCATTAGCAGCTTTTTGCTGTGCTAAGATAGTCTGTTATTTAATATGGATAAGAGCTTTGTGGCTTTCTATGAATAGGAATTGTTTGCCATGTTATGTTGTGGTAACGAATACGATCACTACATTCAAAGTCAATTTGAATCTAGTAGCAGTAGAGCTTCCCGCGAAAATGTTCGTCTGAGGAAGTACTGCCACCTTACCCATTTCTGCCGCCAACAGGTAATCTAACATTACTGCTTGGCGTTACTACATTACTGTGTTCCGGTTTTGAAGGGTAGGGATGCTGTTGAAATTACAAGCATATGGGACTTGTCAACTCATGTCTCAGGGTGACAGGCGCAGTGGCAATGCTCCTCAGATCTCAGCGATTTAAAGCTCTGAGTGACACTGTAATTGTTATGGACAGGCGTGTAGATCAGGCGCACGACTTATTCGTCCCGTAACTTAATATTATAAAAAAAAGTTTTTTATATTTTCAATTGTTGACAAACGGTTATTAGTTTTAATTATCGGAGGTTTTAGAATATTAAAAGTAATAAAACCGCATCTGCAAAATGACAACTTTTCAAGCATTTTATTTATTTAGTTTTAGGAAGATTTACAGCGAATTTTTTTACGAACGAAATTAAAATAGTCATATTTATTTATAAATATAATTGCCTTTTAATGATTCATTAGGTGTGTTATAACACACACACACACATATATATAATAGGGGTTAAAGTATGAAATTGCCGATTTGTACTGAAAATCTAAATTGTTTATTTTTTAAATTTTTAACAAATATATTTAATCAAAATAGTTGCCATTATTATCTATACATTGCTGCCATCTAATGGGAAGGTTATTAATGCCTTTGCGATAGAACTCCGACGATCTAGACTGCACAAACTGTGTGAAAGCATTTTGTACTGCCTCCTGGGAAGAAAACTTCTTGTCACGTAGATAATTGTCCAAATCACGAAAAAAATGGTAGTCCGTTGGAGCAAGGTCTGGTGAATACGGAGGATGACGAATGGTTTCTAACTGCAGTTCCTGAAGGGTCAAAATGGTTTCTCGTGCTGTGTGAGGTCTCGCGTTGTCGTGGAGCAATAATGGTGAAGATCGATTCATGAGTCGGGGCTGTTTTACTGCTAGTTTTGTCAACATGGTTCGGAGTTCGGCACAATAGACATCTGCCGTTATTGCTTGACCAGATCGGAGAAAACTATAGTGAATAACACCATGCTGAGACCACCAAACAGTTACCATTACCTTTTTATTGGTAAGTTTTGCTTTAGGACACTGTTGTGGCATTTGACCTGGGGTCAGCCATTGCATTTTTCTTTTCCGGTTATCATAAAGAATCCACTTTTCATCACATGTTACAATGCGATCCAATATTCCTTCATTTCTGTACCGGTTCAACAAGGCAACACAAGTTTCAACACGCGTTTCTTTCTGCAGATCAGTCAAATCATGACGCACCCATTTTTCGAATTTTTTTATTTTATTGATTTGACGCAAGTGAGTCAATATTGTGGGTAAGGTAACGTTAAACCATGCCGCTAATTCCTGGGTAGTTTGACTAGGATCGGCTTCCACTATCTCTCTTAATTCATCGTTATTCACCTGTGTGGGCGGTCTTCCTCGTGGCTCGTTCTTTAAGTCGAAATTTCCATCACGAAAGCGTTTAAACCAAAATCGCACGGTGCGTTCATTAGTAGACCCCTCTCCAAACGCAGCATTGATATTGCGGGCTGTTTCTGCCGCGTTAGTTCCGCGTCGGAACTCGTATTCAAAAATCACTCGAATGTTCGCAGTATCCATCTTTCTTGTCTAAATTGAATAACAAAAACAATTGAAAGTCGATATTCAAATGTTTCAAATTTAAAAAAAAAAAATCACAGAAACCATTTGAAAAAAGTTTCATTCGAAAACCTCAAACAATGAAGATTCTATGAAAATTCAAAGAACCTATTGCAATAAAACGGCAATTTCATACTTTAACCCCTAATATGTATATATGTATAAATTGTTTATTTATTGCTACACATGTACAATTGTCGTAAATTGATCTTAGAAATATCACAGTGACTGTAGGTACATGAACCCTCTTAGGGCATTGCAATATATTATATTTAATTTTCAATTTTCATGTTCAATTAAGAGAGGTTGCATGCAAATAATTTTTGCAATACCTATAGCAAAACAAACGAAATACATGACGTTATAATTATATGGTTTAAAAAAAATAGAAGGTATGTACGAGTATAATTGGTAATGTCAATTTATATCTTTGTCGTCAAGGAAATCATTTATAGAATAGTAACATTTTCTGTTGGTTTTTTGTCGTATTATTTTTATGACTTTCACGTGATAAAAGCACTTTTGACGTGATCACAAGTGGCTTTATTATACCAAGGGCACGATTTGTCTTTACTGTGAAGGTAAGTAACGTTTTGAGCAAGTTGTTATCGCCGAAGGCAGTGGCTGACCGCAGGTAATACATGCTCTCAATGAGCAGCAACAAACGTCAGCGTCATGTAGTTGCAAATCAGTTTTATAGACTCCATTAGGGCTAGCGCGACTGGTTGCAAATTGCCCGAGAGCGAGATAAAGTGCGGAATCTCTATGTGAGATCAGCAGTATCTCGCGCTTTATATCGCTCTCGTTTAAGTCGCGCCCTGTCGTGGTGGCCCTAC